GGGCGATTGAACGGTTTCGATTGGTGGAATCATTTTACATATTTTGGCAGGAGAAGTCATCAAAAATTCGCCCGAAAAGCTTCTTGGCAGCGTAGTGTTCCCCTTATGGTTAGTTTTGGGCTAAATTCCCTTCCCATTCTCCAATTCATAAAATGTGGCTTACCTCCATTTCTGTCTTTGACAGAGATTTTGATTTTCCCATATTCAATATCTGAAAAACGCACAAGAAGCACAGATCGCGGAATGCATCGTAGAAGATTCTCGGAATCTTCTTTGCTGCAGAATCCGAAAACTAACCTAAACCAAGCATTAAAAATCAAACCCACAGAGCATAATCACTGAAATAAGAAGAAAGCCAACCTACCCGTCATACCACATGCTGTATAGATATTTGTTCACTATTTCGGCTAATTTGAAAAACCATTCAAAAAATGGCACCAGTTTCCACTCTCCCTCAGTTGTGGAGTTCTTTCGTAGTTGATACTCCTCCGCAACGGGAAGCTTCAAAAGATATTTGATCAAAGTTTATAGTAAACTTCTTTTCCTTGAATTAACTGTTGTGAAAGAGAGAGGATTTACCTTCATAAAGTTATCCAAAGGAATGAATCCTTGTGGATTTGGCTTTAAGCGGTTGATTAGATGTTGCTTGGCCTTGAAAACAAAACTAAATGAGCTAAAGATCTTTAAGAAAAGGCAATTACCATCAGGTATTAGGTTTTACATAACTTTCCCTACTTTTTCCCTTCAATATACTAGCTCGAAAGTTCTTTCACTGCCTACAAAAGAGTCGTCAATCTTACTGAAATGCTCTTGGTTTTGTACTAATTTTTGAGTAGGGATATAAATTGTCAGCAGGAAATTGCTTTCAACCTCTTAGGGTTAACTCTTAAACTTATTAAATCACTAAAAATGCTTATATTTATTCCGAAAATTGCTATGTCTCAATTACTGGTAAAAATTGGATCAGAAATTTAGTTTCTGGCTTTTGACAGGCTTCACGCACTAGGAGATCATTCCAACTTGAAAAAGATTATTCAGAAGATTTAGCGCCGCTGCGTTAAAGGCTTTTCCTCGAAGATATGTCATCTTTTCCATCCATTTGGTCATGGGAAGGTGCAACCTTTGATAACGATATGTTTATAAGCCAGGAGCTAAATAATACCTGAGAGGAGGGAGGTCTAGCAATTTCTATATGATGGCATCAACCATTTTGAGGGAAGGAGTTTAAAAGCAATAACAGCGCTATAGTTTAATGGCCTTATAGTTACCT